CAAGTCCACCTCTTGTCCTCTTACCATTGAACTCTCCTACCGTCTTCCCCCCAGTACAACTCAACTTACGGTCATCATGTCTGTATTTGGAGCAACTTTCGGTCTACACACAGCGATAATGACCGTGCGTTCTATCCGGAGGAAGGCGGTTGTAGCTTTAAAAGAACTGCTCAACCTCTCTCCCTAAAGACTATAACAACTCCTATCCCCCTAAAGACTATAACAACTTCAGTAAAGCAATTAAGCTGCTTATTAGACCAACCGATCATCGAGCGATATTATATTTTACTTAACAGTAGTCAATGTATTTACAGTAATATACTAGTATAATATTTTATTTTATACATTATAGTAATATATTATACAATAGTAATATACTATATATTTTATATATTAGTAATATTTTATACATTATTAATATTTTATATTTATATATTAGCAATATTTCGGCTTTTTGCGTATTTATCTAATCGATCCTAGGGTGTAACTGCGTTCCGTGTTCCGTCGTTTCATTCCTTACTTCATTCCTTTTTTTCCCCACTTCGTTCCATTTTTTGTTTCATTGCATCTTCTTTCTTGAGTCAAGCAGAGGGCATTCGCGGGGGATCAACCGAAAAGGAGGAGGGCATTCGTGGAAAAAACAGAACAGAAAAGAAGGGCATCCGCGGAAGAGCCAGAAGAGAAAAGGAGGGCATAATAGCACGGAAGAACCACAATAGCCGTCTAGCCGCTTCAAAAGGCGGGCATTCGCGGAAGAACCAGAAGAGATAAGGAGGGCATTCGCGGAAGAACCAGAAGAGATGAGGAGGGCATTCGCGGGAGAACCACAATAACCGTCAAGTCGTTCCAAAAGGAGGGCATTCGCGGAAGAACCAGACGAGAAAAGGAGGGCATTCGTGGGAGAACCACAATAGCCGTCTAGCCGCTCCACCTCGAGAGAGCTCCCAGCAGAGAGGGGATACATTGTCACGTCACCAACTACCCTATTCCCTCGAACACAACGCACCCTCATCACGACTGTACCAGGCAGGCAGGCACAACGGCTTGCATACGTTCATGCCGAGGGTGCATTCGCGTGCTTCCCCAAGTGCGCACTAGGCCGAAGGCCTGCAGCGTATGCTTCCCCCGAACACAACACAACCTCTCCGAGCCTCATCTGGTCGTATATACGCGCCAGGGGGCTTGCATCACAGCTCCAGACAACAAGCGCAGCAAAACATTTTGCACATTAAAAAAAAAAAAAAAAAGGCATTCTATGTACCAACGATTTGCGTGACTGACGGTGATTTATGGCCTCCACCTCCACATGTGGGATAACGGCCCATGAGGCACTTGCCTATATAGATGAGACATCGTAGTAGTCCGGAGAGGACTCACGTAATCACTTCCAGCAGTATACATATATTGTATGTATTTATAAATAATTTAGTAAAAATAGATATATGTAAGAAGAGGAGATAGATTATACGTGTGGCCGTCTCGTACGGAGATTAATACGTGTGACTATCTCGTACGGAGATTGGCGTTGCGTTCGAGAGAAGCAGGAGAAGAAAAAAGAGGAAAACCGGGCACCGGAGAAGGGAGAAGAACAGAATAGATGGAGAAGGAGGGCGATGCAGACACACGCACAAACTTCTACTTCTTTCTGTCACTTGAATACTACATACTTTTCTTTTCTTTTTTAATTGAATTTCACGTACTTTTTGCTTTAATTCCGTTCTTTTCCTTTCTTGCTCGGCAGATCCCATACCCATTTAGCTTAACAATGTTGAGCATAATACAGTAATAAAGACGCTGTACTACAGTCTTCACCCGAATACAACGTACGGTCATTATCACTGTATCTAGACGCAAAGTTGGCCCAAATACAGCTATAATGACGGTACGTTGTATTCGGGTGAAGACTGTAGTCCGATAAGATCCTAGGAGCACTCGATTTACAGTATATACATGCTCTGTTTTTTAGTATTCATCAATTTCTAAACGTATATATATCGTCACAAATAGAACTGCCCGGTAAACCGTAGGCAGAGAGAGAGAAGAGGACAACAAACGAGGGGCTGTGACAAACTGTTTCGTCGGAGTTTCACCGACTCATCAGTAAATTGTCACATGATATCAGAGCGCCTAAGCGAAAAAACCAAAAAAACAAAAAAATCTTAAATTCGTTTTTAATCTTCTTCCTTACAACTCCCCCTGTTCAGAACCTCTTGCGTACAAGGCCGCCCACGTGGATGTAGGTTGAGCGGCGGCTGCCCCCACCCCCGTGTGTCATATCGACCCACTTGCACACAGCCAAAAGGCAAAGAGGCAAAGATATATATATCGTCAGGCAAAGATAGATATATATTGTCACATGATATCAGAGCGCCTAAGCGAAAAAACCAAAAAAACAAAAAAATCTTAAATTCGTTTTTAATCTTCTTCCTTACAACTCCCCCTGTTCAGAACCTCTTGCGTACAAGGCCGCCCACGTGGATGTAGGTTGAGCGGCGGCTGCCCCCACCCCCGTGTGTCATATCGACCCACTTGCACASAGCCAAAAGGCAAAGAGGCAAAGAAGAGAGGAAGGGAACAGCCAAATGAAACAAATAGAACAGAGGGAAACAAGACAGATCCCAGATGACAAGTCCCACATGCAAGCACCGCCCGCTCCGTCAAAGGCCAAACAACGGGACAAGACCACCCAGGACAAGATATAAAAAAACGACGATCCACAGTGTGACAACCAAGAAAAAAAGAGAAGACAATCCCGGATGACGATTCCCACATACAGGCACCGCCCCGCCTCTCAAAGGGCCGAACAACGGGAAACAACCAACCAGGATGCCAAAAACCCGAATGGCTGGTCCCACATGGAAGCACAGCCACGCCCATAAGATAGCCCGAACAACGGGACCAAACCAACCGAGGTACAGACAAAATCAGCAAAACAAAAAAAGGCTCCAATCCACAATGTGACAACCAAAAAGAAGGAGAAGACAATCCCGGATGGCGATTCCCACATACAGCACCGCCCCGCGCTCAAAGGGCCAAACAACGGGAAACAACCAAGCCAACCAGGATGTCAAAACACTATATATATATATATTGTCACATTGTGAATCAGAGCGCACAAAAGGGGAAAGAAAAAAGGAAAAGGAAAAAAGGGGAAGGGGAAGAGGTAAGGAAAGCTCCACCTGTTCATAACCTCTTACGCAAGGCCAGCCACGTGGATGACAGGTTGAGCGCTGGCTGCCCCCATCCCCGTGTGTCACAAGGACCCACTTGCACACAGCCAAAAAGCAAAGAGGTAAAGAAAGGGAGGAGGAAACCAAACCTTATCCATGCATCCAATCATGTTCGGGCAACGAAGGGGATCGATGGGTGGACGCTCTATCACATATTCAATCGTATAAACAATCAATCGCGCGATGAGATATGCTGTCAGTACTGAACCACTCACAATCAACTAATGAAGTGATGATACTATACTATGATAGCAATCAAAAAGAGAGAGAGAGAGAGAAAGAGAAGATCGATTGGCTTGAATAGCATTCAGCTCATGGTCGCAGGGATAGCTGCACTTATTAGCGATGGCCCCCTGGAGCTATTGATTTACGTCCACCTCCAGCTTGCACGGTAAATGGGCCCTTCCTCGAATTGAGGAGGGAGCCAAGCAAACAATCAACGGCTGGGATTAAACCACCGTCCTGCAAGCAGACAATCACGAGAACCGAACTTTGACCGCAAAAGGACAATGGGGGGGAAGGATGCAGGAGTGAATTACACCTCCACCATTCCATCCCGGAGGA